ACCGTGATGGAGCAGCTGGCTGCTGACGGGGCTGCTGGATGCTGCATCCGCCTTCCCCACCAGCCCTGAGCTGAGCACGGCCACGCTTCTGCAGCGCGTGGGCCTCGCAGTGCCTTTGTCCCTGATACAACCCTCAGGCATCGCTCCTACATAGCCCTGATCCTCTCTCCCCCCCACCCCCCCAAAAATTCTTTTCTTTGCTTTCTCTGAGCAGAGATACAGGCAAAACCAGCCCCACTTTTACTGTCTCTGAGACATCTCGTTAAGCTACGAGAGTATTTTGCTTTCAAGCACACTCGTAAAATAAGCACTGCCCTGGACAGGGGCGTTAAAGCTGGCAAAGTTTGGTGAAAAACTGCACGGAGACCGAAAAACGTCAGCACCCCGGTTGCACGCTCAACACGATGCCTCCGTGCGCACCCTATCGCTTGCAGCGCCCGGCGCAGGGATTTGGGCTGGATTCTCCCACTGCCACCAGGCGTTGGCTCAGCATCCACCGGGGCTGCGAACAGCACGCCCTGGGATGTGTCACCCTGAAAAGGTCCCATAGTTTTTACTAGGGCTTGCATTTACTTCCATAATAAAGTTAACGAGACCGCACTTGCGTGCAACGAATGGTATTCGTTGCCGTCAGGGCACGGAGAGCAACATGCAGATCCGGTCATTTAACAAGGGGGAAAAAAATTAGCGCAGCATGCCTTAAACCATTTACAGTGCGTGAATTTATTTCGTAACAGCCCAATTCGACTAAGCTGCTTCCCTTTTCCCCCGTTCCCCAACAATTTTTCCCTTGTCGGTTCTTCGAGGTTTCCTCGGCTGGGAGGGATGCGATCCCGGAGGACCGAACACGCCGCACACCTTGCCCGGCACCAAGGGCCCAGGTCTCAGCTTCTCCTTTAGAAACGGCCGTCGAGCGTAGTGAAACGGGGACATTGCATTTCTCTTCCTTAACACGTGCTCTAACATAACAATACCCCGCTTGCCGGTGCGGTTGCCGTTGTCGTGTTGCACATCATTGCACCTGGGCGTTTGCAGGAGCCTGATGCCGTTTTGCCAAGCAGCAGGTTACAGAGGAGATGGATTTTTCTCTTCCCTTTTGGGTTTCTCAATCCGGAAGGAGCCACTGGACAGAAAGGCACGGGTGCTGTTTAAAGGGTAGCTGCGCCTTTTCTGCCTAATATTGCAGAAGTCTGCAGAGTAAAGTGCTTTAGCTGTGCGCTCACAACCTTCTGCAAAATCCGCAGACGTGGAGCCCGCCTAGGAAAAACCTATTCCCTGCCCAAACGCGCAGCCGGCTCCGGCTCCTCTGCGCGTTTCTTCGTGGAGGATGCGTCGTTCCAGTTCGCTTTCTGCTGACAAGGAAGCCGCGTTCAGCCCAATTTGGACTGACGCCTCGCAGACTGTTACCACCAACGCAACCCTTGTGGTTGCCAGCAGCTTGCCGCGGCGGCGCGGGGCAGGGGGACCAGTTTGCAGCCCGGCTTTCCCGACGGCAGAGCCCTGGACGGAGTGATGCTGCTCCCCATCTCCCACATCACCTCCTTTGCAAAGAGCTTTGGCTTCTGCAAAGGGAAAAATATTGTATAAAAAAGATCTCGATTATCAAGGGGTTTGACCCAGGTTATGTTCTGGTGGGATTTACAGGCTAGCTAGAGCCAGGCTGGCTGGGGAAAGGTTTCTCCCAGCTCATCTGCACCCACTGCCATGCACACGCCATCCTTTCCCCCCACAGACATCCCCAGTGAGGTAGGACAGCTTGGGAGAAACTCTCACCAGGAACCAGGTGCTGCCAGGGCTGAATACATCTCTATGGGACCCAGGGTGAAAATTCAGAGGAAGACGAGAGCGTAGAAGAAAACCCACAATACGCCGCTCTTTGTGACTCTGTCACTCGGCAGAAGGAGGCCGAGAGTGAACAAGCCCTGGCAAGAAGCCCTCGCCTGCTCCCTGCCCTGGGGCCGGCTCCCACTCCTTGACAACTTTTACTCATCCAGCAAGAAAAGTGGCTTGGACTCATTTTCCACGTGTGGCGCAACCAGGAGCAAAGAAGCCCTCCCAGAGCCAGCCCTGCCCCAGGGACTTCCACTCCTGGCCGACCACCAGGCTCGACCTTGGATCAGGGGAATATGCAGCCCGCTACTCACCCAGGCTGGAGATCTGGATACACGGCAGTGCCCTTTCCCCTTCCTTTCCTTAAAATCAGGTGTTGCTGGCCTGGGAAAGCTTGTATCTTGCATGCCAGTCGTTGCAAGTACACGGTGCTATGCAGAGCAGGCTGGTGGCCAGGAGAGATTCCCCTACGGAGAAGAGGCTAGGAGGACTCCTTGCTTTGTGCTGCCATGCTTGCAGCCCCACATGTTGTCTTGAGAGCACTGCCTGAGGATGGAAAGAGCCGTTTTGAGCCTCCTCCTCAGCTGCTAGGAGGTATCTGATGGCAAACACAGGCAGGTGCGAGCAATAGACTCCCCCGCATGAGTGGGCTGGAGGAGAGGGTAGCAGGATGGTGCAAATGCCTTAGTGCAAGAGCAACAGGCAGCAGCAAGCAGCAGCCTGCAAGATCTGCTGGGCTCAGAGACTGTCCCCCAAGTGCAAGGATGAGGCTGGTGGTGGGTAAGAAGCAGCTGAGAAAGTCAAGCTTTTGCGAGCAATTTAATCACCTAACCCCAGGGTTTCCCCTTTCGGGGAATTCCTCGAGCTGTTTGCACCGTGGCTCTTTAGAGCCATGCAACAGCTCCTCTTTGGAGGCCCCAAACCTCCACCTGAGTGGTGCAAAGTGCTTTCCACCCAGCAACTCCGCTTACAGAAGAGATACTAGCCACCAGGTCTCCTAAAAGTCATCTTTCAGGCTAAAACTTCATTTCCCAGGATGCATCTTGGGCTGGGGGCCTCCAATCAGGGCCAAGGGAGTCTTGAAATATGCTCCCTGCAAGGGGGCATTGCCCTTAGGGAGGCAGTTGTGGAGGTTTGGGAGGTCTTCTCTGCTCTTGAGCAGCATTGAGGGAGCATGTCAGCCTGCACCAGGTGAGTGTGGGGGCCAGCCAGCAGCTGCAAGCACTTATGGCTCTGGAAAGGCCGGTAAGGCATGAAGGTGTTCAGTCTGTTTCCTATTCTCTGAAAAGTTTGTGGTGTCTCTCCTTTTGCTTTGTGGCTTGTGCTTTTATCCTTGAAAATTCCTGATTTTGCTAGGAGGGTGAAGATCTCATTTGTCCTTTGCAGATAGGGACCACCTAGGTGTTGTTTCAGGGGGTAGCTGTACTGCTTGCATCCTCTACAGCCTCAAGTTTCCAGGCAAGGGCAGTGATCTGGGGGGGGTCTAGCTGCTCTGTGTGTACCTTGGAGGATGAGGGGTTTAAGCCCCCAGCCCTGGGAAGGAGGTGAGAGGAGAGAAGAAGCAATAGCTGGGAGATGGTGGCCTAGCTGTCTGCCTTTGAGGGGAGTTAAATTCTCAATTTTGCTCTTGCTTCTTCCTTGTGTTTTATTATTTTCTGCTATGGTGGCTTTCTGGCTGTTGCTCTGAGGGTGCAAGTTAACCCTGGCATGAGTCCCCCATCGGCCTGTAAGGAGGTCCATGTTCGGGAGCCATGGGATTTGCGTGCTCTTTGACAGGGGGCCCTTTTGTTTTGTGAGCGACTTTATTTTCACTGCTGTGGCAGCAGCTTGGAGCTGAGCACGGCTGGTAGCAGCATGATCTCCCTACACAGAGTTGCAGTCTCCAGGATCAAGCCTGGAGCAAACCCCGGGCAGAGCTGTCCCCGAGAGTGAAACATCAGCGCTAACGGCCATGTGTTGCTTGCAGTTGTCCTCAGGGATGCTGAATTAACCCTGCGTCTGATCACGAAGAGCAAGTGGCTGAAAGAGCCATGGGGATCTCGAGGGCAAGCGGCGTGAAGGTGTCGGTGAAGACAAAGAACAGCGTCAGCCGGTGGGCACCGCTAGCTCTCATGAGCGGGATGTGGGCAGGGGGGTTTGGGGCCCTCTGGCTTTGTGTTACTGCACTGGAAATGACTGCGTAATGTGCCTGTAGGGCAGCTCATCCCTAAAATAGGCAGCCACAAGATCCCTGGTGTAGATGCTCCAAGTGCTTTTTTGGTGCTGCCAGACATAAGGGTTTGGCAGTGTGGTTTCGTAACCTAACTTGGCATTACCTGCAAGTTTGCCACCAGACGGAGAGCTGGGAGATGCTGGTCGGTTGTGGTGGTGCTGGGGTGACTTTGCTCTTTGCCCAGGAAACGCAAGAGTGAGTCGGAGAAGGGACAGGATGTGCCGAAGATGCCCAGAGGAAAGGCCGTGAAGAAGGAGCAGGAGGAAACTCTGGGCATGGATCAGGTAGGAGGTACCGTACTGGCTACCCTCCCCATGCGTGGGTCCCCTGGGCTTTGGGGTGACCCTTAAGCCAGCCCCACCAGGCGTGAGCGTGCTGAGGTTTGTGCCCTGCGTGCGTCTGACCTGCGGTGCAAACTTGCTTCCCTTTAAAACCGTTTCCCTGCTCTGGCCCGAGTGCAGCCCCCTGTGTTAAAAGGGAAGAAGAAAACACCTAAAGTCAAGGAGAAGCCACTGCAGGAAAACATCATCAGCAGGTAATTTTTCCCACGACGGCCTTACCAGGCGCGGGGCAGGAAGCAGCAGCGAGGGAGGAGATGGGAGCCCTCGGGCAGAGCCAGCCCGGCGCAGGGAAATCTGCCTCTCTGGGGATCCCCTGCAGGAGTCTTCCCCTGGGAGCCGAGGATGACTCCAGATCTCTCTTCCAGTGCTTGTGTCGAAGAGTGGAAGATGTCCCACGCTTTTGTGCAGAATGGGGTGGGGTTGCCCTACTTTGACTGACAGATGTCTTTTCCTCCTCTGTCCCAGTCAATGCAACTTCTCAGTGGGAATGGGGTCCCAAGGAGATGTGTGAGATGTCCTTCTCCAGAAAAGATGCTAGAGATCCGAGGTGCTGCCTGGAGAGAGGAGACAGCTCCGTTCTCCTTGAGCTGCTTTAATTGTCAAAGCAGTTTTTTATCAGAAAAAACTTGCGTTCTCTCTCCATCTCCTTTTTTGCTAAGAAGCTCTCTAAAGCAAGAGGCTGCAGAAGACAAAGGTCCTAGCTCGAGTCTGCGTGATGGGATCAAAGAGAAAGAGGAAGCTGTGTCCGGACTGGTATGTGGTGGTGTCTATGCTAAAGGATTAGGGAGCACTCGTGTAGTTTACTTTCGAGGGAGCTGTGGGGACGGTACCCTATACCTTGTGGTTGGGTATGAACCCCTAAAAGGGTTCTTTTGAACACCTTGAATTAAATCTAAGTAGGCGCAGAGTGGCAGGAACAGACCTTGCAAGGAGCTTAGAAGACCATTAAAGTGCACTTGAGTCTGGTCCTGACTTCCAGAAGGCTGGAAGATCCTCATAATGCTTCCTAGCCCAGGTTGAAAAATGTGCTTTGGGAAGACCTTGCAAATAATAAAGCTGCTTCCTAAAAACTTGTGCCAAATCTCCTTTTGCCATGTTGGTTACTGCAGTGTCTGGATTGAACTGGAGTGGTTTGCAGCATCCATGGGATGGACTTGGAACAGAGAAGGTGGCCACGTACAGAAAATTTCAGGGTCAGACGAATGGATCTGTGCCAGTTTCAGCACAGATATGATATAAATAAAGTTCCCCTCAGCAGATAGGGTTTTCACATCTGTCCTGTGACCACACTGCGTTTAAGCAGGAAGTTTGCTTCACTTGTTAAAGAGCAAATTACCCCGAGCTCATGTGCCCTGCTAGCAAATGTGCATGGCGTTGGGGCTGAATTAGTCATTTTGAGCATTGAACCAAGAGTGAGAGGCAGCCCTAAAGGGGAGCACCAGGATGCTGGTGACTCATTGCTTTCTGAGACATTTGGGTTCTGCGGCCGTTGGGGTGATGGTGGAGAGTGTGATAATGCGGGCAATGCAGAACGGCTGGGGAATCAGCCACGATAACATACCGCACTTGGCCATCCGGCATGTAAAACCAACAGGGCTGGGGGCGTAGGGTTAATCCACAGATGAGATAGCCTCAGCCACATTGCAGTTAGTCTGTCTGGGGTTGTGTTTCCTGACCAGGGCAGGCAGCCAAGGAAGGATTTGCCCTGCAGAGCTGATAGCGGCTGTGATTTGGGCAGTGGCGGCCCCCCCCCTCGCGCAGGCCCCCCCCCCCCCCACCGGGGAAGCCAGCGGGACTTTACATATCGGCCGGCAGGACAAAGAGGTCCATCCGAGGGGTAACTTCCCCATAGCAGGGCCCTTGCTGAACACTTTGCTGCTTTGGAGATGTTTGGCGTTTGCTTTTCCCTTGAGCTGTTGTCCCTTTTGCAAACTTGTCTGAAATATCTGAGATCTCTCCTGGATCAATGGCTGCAGCTCTGCAAGGGCCAAGAGCTGAGCCACAGCCTCCCAGCTGGTGTCCTGGTATTGCTGCTCTTCCCATTGCAAATACCAGGCATTTACATGCAGGACTTCTTTGAAAGATCATGGCTGGCTGCTGCTCAGCACCCTCCCGAATTTACCAGTCTGATTTTTGACAGCGGCTGAAGGATTGTGAATTCAAGAGCAGGCGTATTCCCAGGGACCGAAAGTATATATTGCCCTAACCAACCTTTAATTAACTCAGGGTTTTCCCCCCCACCCCCCCTTAATGAGTTAACACAACTGTTTCTCAGCAGAAAGAAATCCCTGTGTGGTTTTGGCCGCCCTTTAAAGCCTTGGAAAGGCAAACTCGGGGAGCCAGAATTGGTAACGAAAGACTCGACGCTTGGCAAGTGTTGGCTAAAACTGGGACTGATTTCAGGCCGCTGCACGGCGAGACATATCCTTGTGTTTTGTTTGGCGGCTTTGTGCAGACCTCAGCACCAGCAGAAAAAGAGACCGATTTCAGCTTTTAAAACAAGGGTACCAACAACACAATAATGTTTCCAGCTGCCTTTGTGGGTCAGCTGTTGGCTTTGAGCCCAGTCCCACCTGAGCTCATTTTCTGTTATTCTACCTCTTGTCCCCAGCTTTCATATCTGTTTGTTTTTTCCACTTCTGCACCTCTCCCATCTCTTGGGTTATCACAGAATCGTTCAGGTTGGAAGGGACCTCTGGAGATCATCTAGTCCAACCCCCCTGCTCAAGCAGGGTCCTCTAGAGCATGTTGCCCAGGATCACATCCAGATGGGTTTTGAATATCTCCAGCGAAGGAGACTCCACCACCTCTCTGGGCATCCTCTTCTTTTCCTGCTGTTTCCCCTTCTTGTATTTCTGCTTCTGCCAGCCCGGTCGCTTTGCTCTCCACCTCTCTCACCATCTGCTACAAGTGTCATTTAATCTGCAAAGGGTGAAGCTGTCACTAATGCAAAAGAACTGTGACTTGAGGGATTTTCATTCTGGAGCCCCCCTGTCCCTTCTTGCATCTTGGATGGGTCCTTGCATCGGGTGTCCCTGATAGCAGCATTGCATCTAACGAGTGGTTAATTGGAGCGGGGATAGTTTCCACGTTCTGGCTCCAAGAAGTACCTTTTTAGTATTGGTAGAGGCAAGCAATACGCTTCCCAACCTTGGAAAAATGTCCGAGCTGCCCCTATGCTTTGAAAAGCCTGGCCAATTTTGGGTGGTTGTTCTGGGCTTGCTGCCCCTGGTTTCCATCCATTCCCCTGGGTGAGGAAGGGGAGGGTAGTGCCACCATCGAGGGCACCTGCGCCAGTGTTTCTGACAGCTCTGGGCAGGAGTGATCCGACGCTGCCGTCCGTCTCTTGCAGGAGCAGCCCGAACCCATCCTCTGCCGAGGGCCAGCTCCGGAGCAGGAGGGCACCTCAAGGTAAGTTCGTTGAGCTGCTTTGCCAGGTCTACATGCTTTCAGTGATGCTGCAAATGCAGCGGTGGGGAAGCACCACAGGGGACAACCAGCTCCCCAAAGCCTGGGAACCGGGAGTTTCTCTTTCTTGCTGCGTGTCAGATCTGGGCAAAGATACCAAACTAAATTCGTAAGCAGGCTAATCCTCTCTGCGTCTCCGAGTCGGGGGCTTTCATGTCCGGCGAGAGGCCTCTAATAAGACCTTCTGGGGAAGGAGCCGATCCCGAAACATTGCAGGACTCGGCCATCTGAGTCACGAATTCATTAGCACCCTGCTCGTTCCTGGGGGCCTGATGAAACTGGGGGACCTGAGCATGTTTTGCAGAGTGCGCTGGGCTATTTACCCTAATGAGTTTGGAAAATTGTGTAACGCTTGCTTTAATTATGCAGAAAAAAAGCCATCCAACCCCCGGACTTGGTGGTTTCCCTTGTGTTACTTCCCCCACGCTGACGCTGCTCCCACAGCTGGAGCAGCAAAGCTCTCTGGGGGAAGGAAACCGCAGACCCAGGGGCAGGGCTGTGGGAAAGTGAGTAGTGCCCGGTGATTTATTTGACCACAAAGCCGTGTTACGATGGCCTGCATTTTGCTAAATGCTGAGCCTCACCCACAGAGGAGCCTGGTGGGACACAGAAGGGCGATTTAGGAATTTTTTTTTTTTGTAATTTAAATAAAGCCTCCTTTTGGGGTTGTCCTGAGCCCTGCATGGCACTAAAGTCCCATCACCTGGCAATTCAGCTACAGCCTCTGTCATCTTTTAGAAAGAGACTCAAAATCCACAATTTCTTGCTCTTGCGGAAATCCTATCTCTGGGATGCTTTGGCTAAAAGCAAGCTGTGACCAACCCTGCTTTGGGTGAGAAACCGAGCTGGTCTCGGGCTCCTCTTCCAGGCCTGCGGAGGCATTGAGTGAGCTGGCGATATTTCAGAACTGGCACCTTGGAAATCCTCCTCTGGCTCTGGCAGGGTGTTCGGTGCCTGGTCCAGGCAGCAGGGCTTGTGACCCTGTGTGATTTCTTCTGTGGTTTCTGGAAAGGTTGCTAATACTTGACGTGAATGATTTTTTTTGGGGGGGAAGGGGGAAGGAGTTTGCTTTGTTTTTTCCAGTTCTTCCTCCTCTGGATGGCAATTGCTTCACACGCAGCCCTATTTACCCTGTATCTCCTGAAAAGCCATTAGCAAGGGGTCACTGTGGCCTTGACCCTGTAGAGGTATTGGCTGGCCCTACCTTGATGTAGGATGCTCTTGCTGCTCCCTTGCTGGTCTTTCAGTTTGCCTTTTTGCAGCATGGCCAACCCCAAAGTGAGGTTTCCAACTCCTTCTCCAGCTTGGAGAAGCTCTGTGAGAAAGGGATTTTTGGAGGAGCAGCTTTGTGCTTTACAATGCTGCACATGCCACAGACGGAGCTCCCAAAAATTCACCTGTCCTCTTGGCCGACTGGGAAAATGCTCCTGATTTCCTCACCCCTGTTGCTGCTACTGAAGACAATAGACCTGGTTGCTCCTCGTCCAGCAGCTCATTGCCAGGAACAGGCTGTCGTCTTTTCCTTGCTTTTTCCAGTGGATGTTTAGCAGTTCTTCAATGAGAGCCGGAAAGCCATTGCCAAGCTTTCACCTTTCTTGTTACTGTGCAGGCAGAGTTAAGGATCTCCTAGCCTGAAGTAGTGATTTCTCTTCACTTTTTTTTTTTAAATACTGTTTTTCTTTAATTTTTATTTTTCCTTGATTGCATTTGTTTGTCCATGCCGTTACGACGCTTTTCAGCCTGTGCTGTCCCCAAGCTTTGCCTCCTCCCTTCTTCTTCTCTTCTGCATCCCATTGGCTTCCTCTCCAGCTCGGTGCCAGGGGATGGAGCAGGCAGGGCCCTGCCCGGAGCGTGGAGCTGCACTTTTGGACCACAGTCCAATCCCTACCAACCTGTCCCCTTCTCCAAGCGAGGGGAATTCCCAAGGAGGCTTCTTTGGTGCATCCCCCATTTGGTCTTGAGACCTCATGGTCCTGCTCGTTTGAACTTCGTTATCTCATCATCCATAGCCATCCCGTTGCTGTGGCGACTGGGTCAGGTCTCTGCCACTTTGGGATATCTCCATCAGCTGCAGCAGCCGGGATGCTGCTGCGTGGGAAGGGAAACATGGGCGCGCTTGGGAGGCATCCCAAAATACCGATATTGATACTTTTGACGTTGATATTTTGCATTTTGGGCTCCTGCATGAGGTGGAGGCCGATGCTTGCAAATGCGGTTAAAAGCAGCTGTGCCGTTTGTTGCAGGTCAGAGCGCAAGCCCCGGAGAGCAGGAACTGTGGCAGGAAGGAGGATCCGGGCACCTGAGATCAGAGTTGGGGTAGGAAACTTCCCAGCGGTTTTTGATGGCCGTGGTGGTGGTGTGTTTCCGTCACCCGCCTCCTTCGTGCATGAGCTCTTTGGACTTAAATCTTTCTTCATTTTTTGCTGTTTCAGAAGGTGTCGAGGCAGCGGGAGATGGGACGGGACGGCGTTAACGATGAGGCAGCATCCATCTGCGGAGAGCCGGAGGACTTGGGGGAGGCCGTTGCGGGCGAAGCGGGTCTGGACACGGAGGAGAGGAGAGCAGGGCTGGGTGCCCGAGACCTGAAGAGGAAACGGGGAGGAAATGGAGACAAGAAGCAAGAGAGAAGGAAGCGGCGAGAGATGAGAAAAGACACCAATGAGGAGGATGAGTTGGAGGAAGGGGACCTGGGGACACGAGGAGAGGAGCAGGGTGCTGGTGAGGGAAGGAACGGGAGAACGGAGCAGGGAAAAGCCGGGAGGGCAACCAGGAGCGTCAGCCCCATCCCGGGAAGGAGCGATGGGGAAAGGACTGGGAGAGGGGACGAGGAGAAAGGGGATGAGGACAGATGGGGGGAGCGGGACGGGGCTGGAAATGGGGAACAGGCAGGGCCGAGCCGGGGGAAGAAAAGGCCGGAGAAGGTGAAGGCGAAGAAGAGCAAAAAGGCGAAATCAGAGCGGGGGAAGAGCGAGGAGCGGGAGGAAAAGTCAGGAAGGAAAAAAATTAAAAAGGAAAAAATTTCAGAAGCGGAGCGAGAAGTAGAAAGGGCAGAAGAGGAACAGGCGGAACAAGTGGGAGGTGGACCAGAAGGGAGTGAGAGGAGAGCTGGGAGAGGGAAGGAAAGCGAAGATGAAAAGAGAGTCAAGCAGGAGGAGGAGGATGAGCAAGGGGATGAAGGACAGGGAACAATCATGGAGCTTGGGCAAGAGATGAAGGAGGAGGGCGATGTGGAGACAAGAGAAGTGCTGCAGAAGGACAAAAAGCAGAGAGCCAAGGAGAAAAAGCCAAAGGAGGAAACAAAAGAGAAGGGGAAGAAGAGCAAGGAGGTGAAGACCCCGGAGAAAACCCGGAAAAGGAAATCCAAGGAAGAGGGAGAAGAGAAGAACAGCAAGAAACCTAAAAAGGAGGAAAAAGAGAAAGAAAAAAAGAAAGAAGAGACAGAAAACAAATGGAAATGGTAAGTGTCCTGCATGCTGCAGCTTTTGGCCTCTGGGCAGGTTTAACTCCAGCGCAGCTGGAATTTTAGTTTTATTTCTTATCTGCTGGTAAAACTCTGGGGGAAAAAAAATTTGTTTTTTTTTAATTGACCCTGTTGCATTTTCTTGCATACGAGGGGGAGACGGATTTTTACAGTGCTTTTTGCATGCTACAGGCAAGGCTTTTCGGGATGAGCGCTTCAGGAAAGGGCATCCCACTGGGGCCAATAGATGCTGTCTCTATGTGCTGACCGCTCTCGTGTTGCCCAGGGCAGTTTCCAGAATGGGAAGATGCTGCCTTTCTCTTAGCAATCCCGTTGTACCGGTTTGGCTTGGTTGGTTTGGCTTGGTTGGTTTGGCTTGGTTGGTTTGTTGTTTTTTAACCCAAAAACGTGTCTGGGACTACATTTCCCAGAAGGCTCC